ATTTTTGTTGACTTGACACACAACGGGTAGAACTTGCTGGTTCCAAGTAAGGTGGCTTCTTATTAGAACGCCGAGATCTTTTTCTTTTCGGACATTTGCTAATGTTTTTCCGCGATTCACACTTATTCAAGGGATATTTCTTCCTACAGCGTATCCAAAATTCCTTCTAAGCTGTAAATCGTCTTTAAAATTGTATTGTAAGTTATATTTACGGCATTTACATCACGTAATCCGACATTTTAAAGTCCCACTAAAACTGGATTTAGCCACAAGTGGTACACTAATTCTTCGTGATGTTGATTTTCCTGTCACGGCCATGCTTTTGTAATTAGTTGGAACCGCAAAGGTGGACTCAATATTTGCATTCTTGAAGCGTTCGAGTGGCCAGTCTTTCATCTGGCAGAACTAAATATTATATGGTTTCACCAGTTTTGAAATTCAGCAAACTCATTCGTGAATAGTCGAAGCTGGTCGTTGTCTTCACGAAGGCAGTGAAAGAAAAGCTTTTTCTCAAAATCTAGCGATCTACATAGCACACCAAACTCTTTTAGAAGTTGTTCAATAACTTTTGAATTAAATCCCGCGCTAAGTTTACGGTTACGGTCGTACAGAACGATAGGGTCAGGCATAAATGCATTGTGCACTTTTACAACAAACCTCATATCATCTTGTGGTGGGAAAGCGAGCGTTGGACCAACTTCTTTTCGATCTAAATAATTTTCTGGATCGTCAATGTCTATATCGTTATAGTCAGCCTGTTCTGTGGAAGTGATCAAATAGCTTGACTTCTCACGTAAAACTTTGCAAATTTGCTTATGCTTCGAATAATGTTGTTTTTGGCAAGATTCGCTGCAATACGCAGTGGTAAAGCACTTTTCGCACATTGACGGTTTGCACTTCACACGGCAACACGAGCAATATGGAACGGACAAATTCAACTTACTATCGTTTTCATTTTCTTTGTTATGGTGCATTTCGTTATTCTGAAATTCAGCAGATTGAAAGGAATTGGGATAATTCAAATACCGCGATTCTGCGACCTTACTAACTTTACCACCCACCATAAGCCCTGGACCACCATTACGATAAATTTTGTTTAGTTCGACGACAGGTCGTGAAAATCTTTTCCCTTCAATATTTATTCTAACTCCACCAATTTTGTTGCGAAAAATTTGATTCATCGATATATTGCACCGATCATTCTCAATGCCCGTAATTCCCCAAGCGCCGTTATCAAACAACTTGCTCTCTTTGACATCCACCAGAGAGGTTTCGATATTTATTCCACTTAAATTATTGTTATAAACATTATTACGTATCAGCGTTACATATTTTGACCGGCCGATAAATATCCCATCGTTGCCATTGTCGTGAATATCACAATTACCTGCAACACACTCTGAATCATTAACGTACAACCCATTACAGCCATTATTATATATGCGACTGTTTTCTATTTTCAACGTCCCTCCTCCATCCACACGTAACCCTTCTTCCGCATTGTTACAAAACGAACAATCATGAACAACTGCACGACTTTGTTTACTACATACCAGTGGACTTCTTGTAAAACTGCATTGTTCTGCATTGAATACCCCTTCAGTGTTTATAGTTAGAAAATGATTATTAGACGTAAAGTTACAGTTAAGGATCTTGACGAACGAATCAGGTAAACAATGCAACTCACATTTATTAAAACTGAATGACAAATTTGTGAGCATGCACTTCAACAAGGAAATCTTATAGTTTGACTTCAAAGAAACAGAACAATTTTTTCTCGTGCCAACTAGAACACAGTTGTTCCAAGGTTTGCCAACGGTTTCGGCATAATTCAGGATATATTCCTCTGATCCCAAAACCAAAATCTTCAACAAACCCGTTTCTACTTCCTGCGAAAACATCGCATCTAACAGTTCATCCACACTATCGCATATAAAAATGCGGCTTTGCAAGTCCGGAAAAGATTCCACGAAAATAGGGAAATCAGCGAAAACAGCCCTATTGTGATAAAGAGCCAAAGCAGCTGCTATTTCGGCACTGGTTTTATCATTCAAGTCGGCACTGACTTTCTTATTCAAGCCATCAAGTGCAACAGCTTTCAAAGCATAACCTCTCCAACAATATGGACGGCGCGTTATGTAGTCATTCGCATCTTTTAAAGCATTTTCGCATTGCTCCAATTTTATGTAAACCATTGAACGATAAGTAAGCAACAAGGGATCGAAAGGTCTATTGCAACCTTGAGCCAAATTTATTGTAGAAGAATACGCATGTAATGCTTTTTCGGAGTAACCTTCATTAAAAGCCTTGTTCCCATCCAATTCAAATTTATCAATCTTATTACCTAAATCAAGGTCCCTAGCCTCAGGATCAAGGTCACTAGCTTCAGGAGTAAGGTCATTAGTATCCGGAGCAAGGTCACTAGCATCAGCAACAAGGTCACTGGCATCAGAAACAAGGTCACTAGCATCAGGAACAAGGTCACTAGCATCAGGAGCATGGTCACTAGCCTTAGGAGCAAGCTCACTAACCTCAGGAACAAGGTCACTAGCATCAGGAGCAACGTCATTAGGGTCGGTAGCAAGGTCACTGGGATCAGGAGCAAGTTTCTCAGTCAGAGGTTCAAGTAAAATAAAAGTTGGTATGCAAAATCGTTGAATCATCATCTGAAATAGTCCCGGTAAAGGGATTGGAAGTGGAAAGAGGAAATCATCAGAAACATTCTTTTCAACCGTTTCATACCCTGCTAAAGGCAGCCAGTCTAATATACGATAAGCAAAGTTCAAAGTCCGCTTTGCTTCTTCCTGTTGGTGATTTGCACTCAAATGAACAGCACATTCGTAAAGAATTTTAGCTGTTTCAGGAAACCACGCCGAGTCTAGACAAACAGAGTCGGGACTGACCAACAAATCCTCGACATTTCTACAAAGATGATGGCCATGCATACAAAATTTAGACCACATATAAAAGTGAGAAGGACTATCAGGTGGATCAGAGAACGATATGTCTTGTTCTTCACCATTCCTTTCATCTAAACTAGCATGATTACTGGGTGAAGGACATTTAGAGAATGCAAAAGAAAGCATCCGCACAGCATCAATGAAACTCTCTGCTTTCGATTTAGGATCAAGATTTTCCCATACTAGTTCCTGAACCAAACGATGGGTGCTGACAGAGCCCGTTTCAACATAGGTAAAAAGTGAAAAGTCAGTCAGTAATTTTAGAACCTGACGGGAACCTAATGGCGACGACACACATTTACGATACGCGACGTCTTCCACTTCGGGAGTTCCAACGTTGACCAATTCTTTTTGGATCTCATTTTCATCGAAAAATGAACAAGCATTCATAAATCGAACAGCAGCCTGACCATTCGTGCTCTTCTCAATATACTCTATATTGATACGCCATGTCGTGTGAACGGCGAGACGTTCAGGTGTCTCGTTACCAGGTGAGATAGGACGTGCCGGTTGCAGACTTAACAGTCGCAAGCGTTCAGCCTCATATTGTTGAAGATATGAAGACAAACTGCAACGCAGCATTTGAATATATGCTCCTGCTTGTTCCAAAGCAAGTGGCAATCTCCCCAGCTTTTCACAAAGACATTCTGCGACACTTTCAACATTTTCATTTTCATCACGTGTTACCTTAGTTCTTGAAAAAAGAAATTGCTTCGCTTCTTCAGACTGGAAACAATCGAGTTGAAGACAAAACTTCTGAACCTCCTGAAAAACTGAAACGTCATTAACAAGTCGTGTCGGGTTTCGTCTTGTGAGAACGATAAAATGCCCAAAGAAATTCTCTTTTGAGGGAAAGGAAAGGAATTCCAGCATATTAGACGAAAGATCCAGTTGATCCAAGCAGTCGAGGATTATTAGACATGGGTCATGTACAGTGCTAATTTTTTTCAGGATATTTGGCAAAGTTAAATCAAATGAATTGAGTAATGCACCAATCTTTATTGCGACGGCGTTTACTGTTTTGCTAAGATGCGCATCATCTTCAGCCGAGAACCAATAAACACCTCCTTTGTAGAAATCCTTCATCTGATGAGCATACTCGGAAACTAAGCTTGTTTTACCAATTCCACCCAAACCACATACTGTTGCAACGCGAACTTTCTCTTCGTTCAACGTTTTCTTGACTTCCAAAATTCGTTTAAGCTCCTGGATTTCTTTTGCTCGACCAGCGAAGTAGCAATTTCTTGGGGGTGCTGTGAAAACATAGGGAATTTTCTCCTCTTCCTTAATATAATATCTTGAAAGTTCAGTCGCACATTTCTTCTCAAGGAGCTTCATTTCTTTAGAATTGTTATTTTCCTGAACTTCGCATTTTTCTATTTTCAAAGAATTGATTTGTACACTCATGCGCAGATCGTGTATTTCTTTATTCATGTTTGACTGCATGTCACTGATTTTCGAAAGTAGTGAAGTCATCTGTGAAACGATAAATAGTTTACCTCAATCAATTGTTGCTGAGTTGAATACATTTGTAGAAGATACATTCGCACAACTGATCACAATGGTCCAACTAAAGCGCAGGTAAGTTCTTTTAAGTTTGCGAATAATAAATTTGTTTGGGGAAACACAATGCATTGTTTGTGGAAACATATTATTAGCACTGATGAAGATCCGGGCTTACGGATCGAAAACTTTGCAGTAATAAATTTACGTGCTGTTTCCACAAACAAAACTATTAAGGTACAAGTACTGTACAAATGAAAAGCTTATATACGTTGGTCTGCAAAACAGAGCCATAACCACTTGCCGCAGCTTACATAGTCAAGTGCGAAGTTATTTACTCATCAAATTTTCGATCCTAAACCTAGCATTATCACAACCCATGCTAAGGATGGTTGCTTTGCCGAGTATTAATTAAGCATGGTGTTTTCCTTCATCACATAGAAGCAAATACTAAAGACAAATCTTGCATATACATTATGTACGAGTTACATGTAATTACCGAAAAGTATTAAATATATGACTTAGCATGAACCTACAACCAAATAAAATAATTTTCGAACCTGTGCTTTCTCTAAACTCCATGTTTGGACAGCTTTGTGAAGTTCATCCACTTCACTTCTGAATAAAGTCAAGATTTCATTGTCGACAGGTTGACCAAAACACAGCTGCAATCCTGAAATAAAGTTTCAATCTTAATATAGTTATGTTGAGAAAATCATTTTTACAAGTAAACAATGATGATGTTTAGCTTGAATTCTTGCCATAGTTTCCTTTTACGGTACATGTTTTAGTGACCTTAACTCTTCTTAATATACCTCGAGGAGTGAACACAGATAAGTATGGTCAAATACTCAAATGCAGACACGGTTTTGGTTCTACTCAATCAATGCCGACGTTTTTACAGAATTGTTCAATTAATCTGCGCGGTAAATAATATTAGAATAAGAGTCGAATAATTAACTTAAAAACATTAAAAACTAGTCTTTAACTCGAGATACATATTAACTAGTCAACTGAAGAAAAAGAAGATAGTCTGAGAGGAAAGAAATTAGACTTAAAAAGCATCATCTACTTAAGAAAAAGATCATGTTGAAATTCAATATATCTATACTTTATTTCAAAGTCATCATCAAAGTTAAGTTACATATATAGATTAATTCGGTATTGAAAAAATATCATATGAAAAATTCCCAAGCTATTTATTGCTGAGGTTGGATTTGCAGTATTCCAATAACAACACCTAATTGATATGAGATTTTAACTTGGACCAAAATTCAATCTCGGTATCCCGAATTGTGATAGTGAATAATAATCAAGATGTCTGACGTGTTTCCATCCGAACGCCAGTAGAATGCTGAGAAACTGCCTCGTTAGCCCGCATGCAGGCCAAGGCGGGTAAAATAGTGGGTCCAAGGAAGACCGGGTGTTTTGTATTTGTGATTGGCTGTTTGCTGTTGGATTATATAATTAGACCGGTGATTCATCACAAAGGCTCTCGATAAGCCCAAAATTGGATCTAACCACTTTTTTCGATTAAAATTGGAACAAGAACAGACTCTTTATTGTTTACTTGAAGGAAGAGATGTTTTTTTGCCGTTATGCCAACGGGGATTGCTTGTCGTGAAGTGCTGGAATAACAACATTACCACTGGGGTAAACTATAGTAACCTTTACTTGAGTTTCATTAATTTCAAACAGATTTGATACCGTAACGTTTATAATCCTCAAGAAAATTATCTTTGGACTGATGTTGACTTTGTTCTTGCACTGAAGAAAACAGCGCTTTTAGTGGTGAAGATTTAGAGGCAGTTGCATGTAAGGCTATTCGACACACTTCGCGATTTGCTGGGCTTCTCTGAGAGAGCGAAACAGAAGACGGTAATTGCGGTTTGAAACGATCTGGACTCTGAACGCTCTTTTCTTTTGTTAAGTTCTTTACCAACCTAAATAACTGAACTAAATTTCGTACGAATTGCACACATGATCTGATAAGTGAGACAATTTATTTATAACAAAGGCGATAGAAGCACACATTAATGCTAATGTGTCGCACGACGTCCCTCACGACTTAAAGTAGCTTCGCTTTTTCGGAGTTAAACAAAGCCATTTATACATTGTTTCTATTCTGAATACGCAGAAAAAAAACCCCAATATTTGAATGCGAGTTTGTTTACTATTTGGGTTGCTGTCATTGGTTCTTTTTTGACAATTGACGCGCGAATGGGACGTGTTATGAAAAAGGGCGTTTTACAAAACACCCGGTCTTCCTTGCAGGCCCACTATTCTTCCCTCGGTGGGCCTGCACGCGGGCTACTGCTTCGTCCCCAGGTGCTATATAACAAATATATAAAGTATTCCGGAGGTGTTTACAGGCGCGCAGAGAGCAATGGGTATATGCAAAGAAATTGTGACTGTAAATGCCATGAGAATACTTCACGTGAACATTTTGTATACTGCCTGGGAACGAGACAGGCTGAGCGGAAAATTGATTCACAATGGATAATATATTTTACTGTTACTGTAAACTTTACAAAAGCAAATCTGGGTTGCTGAATCCAAGGTTGGATACCCGAGATAGATGCTATATAGTATCTCATTGGATACTCTGAAATACTCAAAATCTAGAATCCTCTCATGTCCATGGACATCAAATTTCATTAGTCATTACCTTTAATTTTCCAGCTATCGAGTTCATCACACAATTTCTGTTCATCATTAGATGAGAGATTCATATTCTTCAGTAAAGTTTTCATATTTTGAAAAGCATCAAAACATTTTGGTTCCGTCCATTCTGCAAAGTTGCAATGTGCCCACTCGTTTCTGATATCTGATCCAACTGTCTTTGCATGAGCAGCAGCTCCTACAAATGGGGCAGCTTCACAAATCACTGATAAGACTGCAGATGTATCCATTGTTACGTCAAAGCCAGTGAACTTGGACATGGATAGTTTAACAAACAACTTTGCCAAAGACAATGGATCTTTAACTGCATAATCAAATGCACGAGGTGATCTAAGGGCATCATTGTTGTTGATACTTTTATAGTTGAGGTCTAACGTTGATGGGTGTAACTTTTTCTGGTGTCTACCAAAAACTTGTTTGTCGATTTCGGTCGGTGGATGACATAAGACTTGATGCCACTTTGGTATTTCGGTTGCAAGAACATTTCTTAATGCAGGAGTGAGCACTTTGGTCAAACATACACCAATGACAACCCATCTTCGTTCTTCGTTTGATACAGGAGCTGTACTGCAAGCGCTAGCCATTACTGATCTACAATTGATTAAACTTAAAGTTCAGAATGATACTTCATGTCAAACTTGCACTGAAATTGTGTAGATGTGAAGGTTCTGGCAAGGCTGGAAAAACTACTGCAAAAAGGGCACTACTGCAAAAAGGGCACTGCAAAAAGGGCACTTTCTTTCCAACAAAAGAGGGCGTTCATTCAAGAAATACTTTTTTATTCTTTAAATGGGGCACTTTAGCGCAGAAAAAAGGGCACTTTTTCACTTTTTAAAAAAGTGTGACGGCACATGCCCCCATTGCCTTCCCTGGTTCCACGCGTACGCCCCCAGGTTTTGCACATTCCCTGAAGTCACGCACCTCTCCTTGGGAAAGGTTAAACTGTGTGCCTATAGTATGTTTATCGTATAAAGCATACGTCCGAATACGCACAAAATTTTTGAGCATGCTTAAAAAAAAATGTTCTGCCTCGCCGTATGCCAGCGTATCCGACCGTGCTTGAAACGTATACAACTTATGTCTAGCGTACCCCTAGCGTATGTCAGCGTTTTCCAGCGTACGAGTGATATTTTTTATACGCTGGCATGCGCTAGTACGATAGGCAATAGTATGACAGGGCCTTTATAGAGACTCCATATTTTCAAAAATTTTCGTTCGGCTCGTGAACGACATAAAATCGTTTGATTTTGGTTATATACAAAAGTGCCCCTCCACTCCTTTTGGCCAATGCCCTTCCACTTTCGAATTGCTTCCGCCAGCTTCTGTGCAAAATCATCTCAGGGGAGATACGCACCTCGCCACAAAATCCCTCCCCTAGAAGGCCCACGCCTTTCGTACTCATTCAATAAAATCTCATGCAGGTATGCAGATGATTTTTAACTCAATTTACCTCACTGCTTCAATGAAAACGTCACTAATTAAGGCAGGGGTCTTCAAACCATGGGTCGCGACCCAAAATTGGGTCGCTAGCACACCCTCGAAGGTCGCAAGGCTTGTCTTGGGTCGCATGGGTCGCAATGCTTGTCTAGGGTCGCGAACTTACACTAGTAAACTTTACAAGACGAGA